CAATTTTTTTTTTTTTTTTTTGTGTTATGTAATAAAATAGTTCTCTCAAATGTGAAATGTGAGACAATTAAGAGGTAGCTGCTAGTTGAATGGATCTTTTGAAGATTTATATCTGTGAGTATATAAGTTCATGGAAATGAACTTTCACATTTCTACTCTTAACTTTTTTCTTTCTTTAGCTCACTTTTAAATTCTCAGGCAGTTAGGCCCTCAGGGGAGAAAATCATGACACTTGCTGTATACCAAGTGGCATGCTGAAGTCAAGAATAATTTTATTGAAAATTTTCTCTATTTAAAGTCATCTGAGCTTCCTGAGTACTCTCAGCCTTCCCCTCCCCTCCCCGAACCTGACTTTTCTCTCCCTTTTCCTCCCAGATGCAGATGGTAGGTTTTTAATGTGAAAGCGAATGGGAATACTGCTGCTTTGTTTCACTGATGAGATGGCTGCTGTCTTTATCAGAATACTTTCTGCAGCTTTGCACAGATGTCTTGGTATATTACCCCACTTTGGGCCATTGAGTGGCTGGTTATTTTATTTAGCAGTGGTAGATATGAAATGATTGATGACCATTTTCTTCCCTTTGTGTTACATTTTAGTCTATTTGCATATTAAACACTTCATTTCTTTACACTGTTTTCCACTGTTGTCTCTTGTTGGATTCTAGGGAATCCAACAAAGAGATTTCTGATCTCTTGCGAGTGAAGGATTACTATAGTGATTTTAAATGAGTCTGTTATTACTATAACTTAGGTCATAAGAAGGCAGCACTGTATAAATCTTCAGCTTGAAGTTCAGGACTTTGATAAACAAAGTCTTTCAGATATCAAAAGGGAAAATTGGGAATGTGATGCACAACCCTTACCTTTCACTTACTTGAGTTAAATAAGAATTTAACTATTTTTTTTTGAGTCAGTTCTAGTGCTTCACGTTCTGTGTCTGAGCATTCCCACATCTGTGTGGCTGAGCACTGGGATGCTTTTCTCTCATCTGATCCCGATTAAGCACCTCAAACATTCCTAAGGCTGTTTGTAATATAAAATATATAAACCATCCACGAAGCTGTGGCTTAAAATAGAAATATCCCCTTTTCCCAGTGGGTATTGTGTATGCCAAGCTGAGGAGTCATGCTCTTTAACTTGGCATTGAATACTGCTTGAGTTCCTTTTTGTACAATGAAACAGCTTTGTAGAATTCCCCACTTTGAGGTAGTCAAATGTTTTATGGTTTGACCATAGACCACAGCTGTGACACATTGAGAGGTAGCCCATCTGTTAAATGAAGTTGTGTTTTAACTAGGCTTTTTCCTGAAATGGAAGATTTAAGCACTTTCAGGAGAGTTCTGAGCAGTGAATCCCAACCTGATCACCATCTGTGTCAATTATTGTCAGAAGCCTCAAGACAGCCAGATCTACAGGCTCTATTTCTGTCTTGCATTTCTTGTCTGGCTCAGCTGGTTCCTCAGTCAGTCCTGTCTTTGTTAGATCTTTCCCCTAGATGCCCGTGGAGAGCTTGGATGCTTAGTTTCAGGAAAAGAAATGAGGCATCAAAGCTTTAAATGCTGCAATACCCTATATCACAATCTTCTGTGCATATAACTTTTAGGTGGTTTGGATTATTTAGTTCCGTTAAACATGCTGAGCTATAGGGCTTTGTTGTTAAAAATATTAAGTTGAAATTATGTTTTATCCAGAAGCTCCTTCCGCAGCTTTACCAGAAATAGGTTGTTATTAATGCTTAATTCCTACATTTATTTACAATGATTGCTTGATTGAAAGACCATCAAATACAAGTGTACCTGTTGACTGTTAGCAGAGATGCATTAAGACATGTTATGGTTTTTGTCCAAGCCCAAATTGCTGAAGAGGTGTAGAAATGGGAAGCAAACTATTGAGAAAATACTTTTTTTTCTTCAGCTTATGAAGTCAAATTCTGTTAGGGATGGGGAGAAAGGAAATAGGAAAAAATAGCATTCCTACCAGCTGACTAAGCGATTTTCAAGTTAATTTGTGTTCATGTAAATCTCTCTCCTCAGGTTTCCTGGCGTTGCTCTTAAAGGCAAGAAATATAAACCACTCTTTGAATATTTTATTCAGGTAAGATGAACAAGTTTGATGTTTGATACAGGATACAAAGCCAAACGTAAAAATGATTCTCAGTATTCCTTGTTTATATTATAGAAGTCTTGCATCCTAATAACAAACCCCGTATCGTATTAAAGTAGTTCAAAATCTAGCGGAAGGTTGAAAAACAGAAGGTTGACTTTTTTCTGTATTTTTTCACTTAAGTTTTAAATACACCCGGAGTAAGAACTCAATAAATAGTAGTCAAACAGTAGTTCGACTTTGGATTGCAGAGAAACTTCCAATTCACATTAATAAATAGGCAGTATTCTCTCAGCTTTTCATCTGGCGAGCTTCTGTCGTCTGCCTGTTAAGTCCACAAATTTTGTATTCACAAGAGAATGACTGTGGATAACAGTTGCAGGTGTGTAGTGTTTTCCATTGAAGAGTTAACAGCCTTTGCTGAAATAACTACTGATGCATCTGTTTTTTATGGATGTCCTCCTGTGCAGCATTTAAGCACTGCGTAAGTCTAGCGTAGTTAATAGCACTGCAGATGATAATAGAATATTTAGCAATAAGAGAGGGACTAGACAATTTATATGTTTTAAAAAAAAATTCTGATTAAAAATGGATTAAATTTTTCAAAGAGTTGAAGTGGATTACAGTACTGCTGGACAAGCAGCTGTTAACTTGTGTAAGGGATTTGGTCATTTGTGACTACCATCTGTTCTGAAGCGTGTGCTGAAGTTGGCGAAGGTGAGAAAACCTCTGTAGGGAGCAGGATCTGTTATTTCTAGAGAAAGGTCAAACACATAGCTGAATCTGAAAAATGGGGCTGCAAGTGTAAAGATTTGGGATGGATAAATTTTTTAGAGTCCTGCTGTACTTCTAAGGAGCAGATGGGCATCTACTGTTTGGTGTGTGTGTTTTTTGTGGTGTTTTTTGGTTTTGTTTTTTTTTTTAGAATGGATGTCTTATGTCAAAATATCCCTCTTCAGAACAAGCCAACATAATATTTTGTAACATATTTGGTTCAGCTGTGACTGCAGTAATTTTTTTTACTACTTTTGTTTTAGGGAATAGAAAATAGCTTTATTTTTCATTATCTACATACTGAACACAGTGAAAATTGTAAGATCTTTTCTTGGCAATTTTTTCTGTTGTGGTTTTTTTTTTTTTAACTTGATACTTACCACCTTCTCATTCTCTGGAGGAAATAAGGAAAATATATTACTATAAAAGCAAACTTCTTTTTTAAAATTAGAAGGTACAAGGGACATAGGACATAGGAAAATGCAAGGAGACTTCTGTATATAGAATCCCTGTAGCTTTCCTGATTGTATCCTCACTTACAGGAGTGTATTGATTTGTAGTCTGTTAAGCACAGAACTGTGTGAAGATCTGTGGCTTGAAGAGTAATAGAATATGAGGCCTTCTGGAGAGGTCTTAGGTGTAATAACATTTGACACTGTTTAAATGAAGTATAGAGCCTGGGCATCTTAGCTATGGGAAATGATTAAATAATGTTAGGAATGTCACATTTTACTGTCACTTATTTTGATGGAGTTCTTTACTCTTGTGGGTGGCTAGTGGCTCTTCCATGTTCTTAAGAATTCTGTTTTGCTATATATGTGTGTGTATATATATATATATGTATTTTTGTGTTACAGTGCAAAGATAAAGGTGCCTTTGCTGTGGTAGTAGACAGTTATGTGAAGGAGGAGGAAGGCACAGGTGTTGTACATCAGGCCCCCTATTTTGGTGCTGTGAGTATGAACTACATATCTGTTATGTTGATTTTATTCCACATTGCTTGGCTTTCGAGCTACTGGGGACTGTCTGTCAGGGTGACTATGATTTTAAATAATCCTCCCATTTGCTACTTAAAAATGTAAGAATACAATGTAGTATTGTATTCTAATGAGTTCTTGCACGCACTAGTGCCCTTTGTGTGCAAGGCTGGAGATTTTAGGTGTCCCTTGATTTGGTTATTCTTGTGGTATGTGAAGTGAGCTCACCACTTCTGAGTGTCACTGATATTAGCTTTTCTCAAAGTCTAAATTTACAGCTTCGAGAAGAAATAGTTTGTTACACTGATAGTCAAAACTGGCTTTGCTAAGTGATAATTTTGGATGGTAACAGCAGTTCTGCTCAGCACACTGCCCCTCTTCAGTGTTTTAAGTTCATTACTCATTGGGCTTTTAGAGAATGAAAAGATACTTTGACTGCTTTTGTACTGAGACTTTATCCCTCGGTGTTGAAAGGATTTTGTTGCATCCATTCTTTTTTCTGTCTTTATTGTCCTTTCCTTTAGTCTATTCTTCTGAGGGTTAAGAGGGATAATTTTTCATGGATTTCATCATTTCAGTTTTTAGACACATGAATTAAATGCACTAGTTTGGACTCATTGTCCTTTTTGTATCGTGTCCTGTCTTCAGTCATTATCCAAAGATGCCCTCAAAAAAACTTGCAGTAGAGCTGCCAATGCCGAGCAATTAGCAATCCCTGGACCACGAGCTCTATCATCATTTCTGGAAACTGTTGGCATTAGTAATAGGCCATTTTGTATTCATGTGAAATATCCCATCCTTTTCTGTCTTTTTTTTCTGCATTTTTCTGAAGGGTGCATCCATTGTGATGTTGTTTCCCTTGTCAAGATGAACACTGACATGAAAAGATGTCCCAGCTTAATATAGCTGTGAATAAAAAAAGTCAGACGGGGCTGTATGTTACTAGTTAATAAAGAACTTTATGGTGACTGGTAGAGTGTCTTGAGAAGTCCGAAGCCTATCACATCCCTTGCACCTCAGATATTGCCCTATAGCTAAATCTTGCAAAGATTTGACTGAGGTGTGAGGGAGCAGACTTGGTTTTGAGGCAGGAGCTCTTGCTGTGGGAGATGGAGTAAAGGAAGAGAACAGGCTGCTAATAGAGAAGGAGTTCTGGAAGAAACTTGCCCTTGGCTGCTGTATTGTTTTGTTGTGTATTTGCACAATACAGTTTAGTTTTTGGAAACAGCTTGTTGGAAAGCCTGACTGACCAGTTAGAGCAAGGATTATCTGCCCTCTTTTATTTGATTTTATTATAAGCCCACAGAGATTTGTGTAAACACAGAGGAAAAAAGTATCTTTTGTCTCTCTCTCCTGGGAAGTCAGCAATTATCTTTAAAAACACTTTTTTAAAAACACGAGAGTATGGGTTAAATGCATTGCAAAGAAAAAAAAATGCATAAAATATTTGTATGAGGGGAAAAAGTACACTAACATCACAAACAAAACTTTGCACTCGTTAGCTAAGGAGCAGCTTGATTTTATAATGCATGATGGATAGACCTGAGTCAACTGGATACGCTACGTTTAGAAGGAAATTGCATAGTATATGTTGCGCTTAACGCTACTACCTTTTTTCTTTTGGGATGCCTGTAGTTCACTTTTGACAGCCCACTGATTGTTTTTGTTCATAAAGGCTCACAAAGGGTTCTGGTTTAGGTTCAGAAATTCATTATTGTACAGTAGGCTCTGTATAGAATATGAGTGTTACGTGTGTTGGCATTAAAAGTTTGCCTTTAAGTAGACAAGGTTAGATGAAAGAAGGGTGATAACTCATGACTGTAGGCAGGACTGTCTTCCTAATTAATTGGCTTCTCTGTGAATTCCTTTACTGTTGTGTTGAAGATGAATAGGAAAGAGGAAAGGGGTAAGTGGAGCCAGGAGGCAAGGTCAGAGGAGAAGAAAAAGAGCAGAGTCCTTCACAGAAAGTGTCATATCTTGTCTGTATCCCTTCCCCTCGATATAAGTCCCTTTTACAAATAGGGATAGAAAGTAAGGGGTTTTAAAAAATTATTTTACTTACTGATATATATTCTGTATTGCTGATAGCTTAGAAATGTATCCTTCTCCAACAAAATTTAAAGTAAAAATTCACCTTTGTTTAGTTCCAGGATATATTGTTTAATTGTCTTGTGTGATGCTTTTGCCAGATACAAGCTGCCACGCAGTATCAGAGCGCTCTATTATTCAGTTCAAAAGAAATCAAAATTAAAGCTCACAGAATAAGACGAACCTGTATTAAAAACTGTAAACTCCCGATTAACATGACACTAAAATTCAGCTGCTCAGGCATTTCATCATATGTAGATGTATCTACAGTCAACTTAAAAAGCTTTAGTAACATTTTAATTTGCATAAAGCCCTATACTTCTAGTGTCTGCTCAGACTGAGTCACAGAAATTTCATAGATATGTTACTGTTGCACTTTCTTTTCAGTAAATTGCAAAAGCATACTTGATTTTTGTTAAGACGTGGTGAAGGTGTACCTTTTGACTTCATGGTTTTGTTGCTTTTTTTTTTTAAAAAAAAATTCAGGTAGAAAAGCTTTGAGTTCTCATCAATGAGCTGTTCAATAGGTCCTGCTTCATTCATTTTGTGTATGGTTTTTAACTTTTATTTGTAATCTTTTGAGAGATCTAATCGTGGCAGGGGTACAAAAGTGAACACTGACTTCTGTCCCAGAAAGAATTGAAATTTGTCGTAGCTTTTCAGTGGAGCTTAGCATTTGTGGATTTCTGTATGTGCCTGAATATATTCCTGGGTTGTGGTTACTGAAGCAAATCTTCGTTAAGTCAAATGGCAGGTCAGTCTGGAAAGCTTTTACATTCAAGTTTGAGTTCTTCAAAAGAAAGGAACTAACTGTAGAAAACCAAAATAGCAAAGCCCTTTATATATCATTGGCTGCATCAGCGATGCAAATCGAACTGAACCACCTCTTGACCTAGGTCCTGCGAAGTGGAAGGTTTGTTCTTATATTTGAGCTAGGTTGTGAACGTGCCAAGCTTTGTAGTCTTTGCTGGCTGCTGCTTCAAAGCCTTTTACAATTCACTGCCAAATCAGGGTTGACATTAGTTCTGTCATCTGGCCTACATTTTAAACACTGCAGTCTGCTTGCTGTATCTCAGCAAAAATAGCTGATGAAAGGTCAACTGAGGATGGGCTTATTTCAGTTAATCTATTGACTGCAGAAGCTGGTTGACCAAGTGGAGGCTGAATAATCATGATGGCTGTCTGCAGCTGCTGGAGAGTGGAAAGATGATCTAGAGTAAATGAGTGCTGTAGCTGAAGAGGTTTTTCATTTCTGTATGTAATGCCTTGGTACATGAAGTAGCCAACTTCACTATTGCTATGGATGAGTTTCATCATTGTAAAATATACTGTGGATCAACAGGCAGCATCTGCCAAATGTGGCTTGCGGGAGCTGGTAAGTACAGGGACTAGTGGGTAGGTTTGGAGGTACAGGATGAGGACCACAGAAAGGATCTGGAAACTCTGCTCTGTCACTCCAAAGTTGGCTCACCTGTGTTGGTTATATCTAGGAAAGGAGAATTGAGCTAGCTATGGAGCACTTGCTTATTTAACGCTTATTTACACACTTGCTTCTGGTATGGTCTCCTTGATCAAGGTGGACAAATTGCTTTAGAGTGCAACTCCTATGAAGTAGCTGCTGCGTTTTACGAAAGCTAAATGACCTCTAAGCATAGAGGAGGCTAACAATCCAACTACCGCCAGTTTTGGTGGGCAGGGTGACTGCAGGTTGTGTTTCACTCTACACAAAATTTCAGGTTTTGTTCCTGAAGTCTGTGGTTTCCCCCGTTTCATCAGAGCAGCAATACAGGAATCTCCAAGACTCAAAAAAGCAACCTGACTTGATGCAGACTTAGACAGGGCCTTTTTCTTTGAGGAAAAATGAAGCAATTCTGTGAATGTGCTGAGAGTGACTGATCTGCAGCTGTCCCATTCTCCCTTCCCCTCCCACCCCCAATAATGTTTTCTCGCCTTAGGGCAAGAAAGTGGGTAACCTGGAGTGACAATTGGTTACAATATGGACTTTGACTTCAGGCTTGAAATTAATATCTGAACTTTTCTGTTCCTTTAGTAATTTTGGTTTAATCTTTTCTAAGATACCATTGTTGTTCAGTTATGTTCATGAAAGTCTGAAGTGACCCTCTTTTTCTTAATTGTTTTTGTTGTGTTTTTTTTTTTTTCCCCTTATTGCTACAGGAAATTAAAAATTTAAATGGAGGCTGGCCAGGAAAATAACCTGTGATGTTGTCCATGTGTGGTTCTTGGTCAGTAGCATTGCCTATGGGCCAACAAAGATTGAGAAATACAGATTTAAAGGCTTTGGATCATCAAGACATTCAGAAAATGGGATTTCTTATGTGGAGTTCCAGAATTAGATTGATTAAAACAACCTGCCTTCTGAAAAATGCCATGCAGGCTTGTGTGCTAAAAAGACACAAGTCTCTGGCTGGTACATAGTGGTTGTCAGTTCCTTTACTATGCGATAGTAGCCTGAAGCTGTTGACTGCATGTATGTATGTGTGTATACACACACAAAAAATATGTGTGTATATAGATGCACATATATGTATATGCACAGAAGCACTTGCACATATCCCCTCTAATAGGTGAGAGAAAACACATATATTCTGGAGAAATCATTTCTGTGATCAATAAAAGTACAATCCTGTAAAATACATCTTTTCCTATGCATATTTGGGATTAGTGAAGGCTGAGTATTTTGCTATTCTTGTCTAGTCATCACATTTTCTATTTAATATTTAATTCCTTTTTCCAGGGCTGGATATTTTAACTAGTATTTTGTATTTGTATAACTTAGCACTTCTCTCTTTTGTAGGATGATTACAGAGTCTGCATGGATTTTAATATTATTCAGAAAGATTCTGTGCCCGTTTGTCCAGTTGATGCGTCAGGCTGCTTCACAGCAGAAGTGACTGACTTTGCTGGACAGTATGTGAAGGTTAGTGGTCTTGGAGAAAGTGAATTACTGCTTTATTCAAGATAAATTTTAGATGTTGCCTTCGTAATAATTTTCTTCATAGTGTCTTTAATATCTGGAAAAATAAAAATGTGTTTTAACATTTGCAACAATGTTGCAATTGTTTATTACAACATCTGAAAAATAAAGAATTTGAAACCTAAGTAATACTGTGTATGTAGTAGTGAAAGGGAAGAGGAGTATCTCCTGTTTGCATCTACTGCAGAAATCCCTTGTTTCTTACGGAAATGTTATGTCTCTAGGCAAGTGTGCAGAGGCCTCCTTTACCTCTGGATGACTTCTGAATTCACAGATGTCGTCATTAAATTTATACCAGCCCGTTAGTGTAACATGACTTTTTAGAGGAAAGAAACCCAGTCATTTTTCCCACTTGTGGGACGTGTTGCAATGTGAATTTGCTTGCCAATAGATGCAAGAGAATCCGTGTAAAAGGAACCCACAGGAACTCCAGATTGCTACAGACACAAATCCATAGAAAGGAGTGCCTCTTTATTCTATGTGCTAAGAAAACAAATTGTTTTTAGTCAGTTTCCTGCTGGTACAGTTTGATAGCAAAGCATGTTCCTGTAAACACAATTTACTTGAAAAAGACTTAAAAGTCTTGTATTGCATTTGAACTCAAATGGCTGTCATTGCTTCCTGCTATATATTAAGGCAAGTAAGAGAACACTGGAGGCTACATGTTTATCTTCTTGCTGGTAGGAATCTGAACTTAAGGCTCTTGGAAAATACTCTTATGATGCTGAATTCTTAGCTTATGAATATTGCTGTATCATAAATCTTTGTATGTTTTTTTTTTTCCCGCCCTTTTTAATGTCATGTTGACTCGTTTGTTCAGTAGACTGTCTTTGATTATTAACGTACAGCCTTAACTTCCAGCTTAGAACATAAACCCTGTTTAGTTAGTAAGGTATTGTAAAAGATGCTTCAACTTCTGTAACTCTAGTTATGTTAGAGAAGTGTGTTGTAGTGAAGTCTAAATATTAGGTAAGAAGCACTATGTGACTTCCTGCCACAAAATAAGAAGACTCAATAAAAGATTTAAGATATTAAATAATGTGAGTTCTGGCTTGTATTAATGCTACAGAAAATTTGAATTTTGTACACAGTTGTGTGTATGTGGAAATAGAGTTAAGGGCAAAAAGGGACTGATGCTGTATGCCAGGATTTGGAGAGCAAATAACTTTCCAAATTTAGTGTTTTACAGTGCCTCTGCAGTAAATGCATAAATTGTATAGAAGCTTTTTGGATTTTTTGTGTGTGTGTGATACTGGATTGTTTGTAGGGGTTTTCTTAATTTGGGTATTGGAGACAAATCCTGTAGTAGCTTCCTGAAATAGTGAAATTTGTATTCCAAGGAAAACTTTTTGTTCTGTCTTTTTAGGATGCAGATAAGAACATCATTAAATTACTGAAAGAGAAAGGCAGACTGGTTCACAGCAGTAGTTTTAAGCACAGCTACCCTTTCTGCTGGAGGTAAGGAGAGAAGTGCATATGGCTTTAAGACTGAGGGTTCTAACTGAGTAGTTCTTCAGGTTTGTCTCATTTTTTCCCTCCCTTGACCTACTTAATTTTTTTTAACGAGACTAACAGTAACAGGAATCAAGAATATTAAATTAGGGGAGCTCCAATTTTGGTTTACTAAGAAAGTAAATTAAATTTTTTTGCCATAAATCTGATGAATTTAAGTGTAGTGCTGAAAATTTTTTTCTATTATGATTTTACAGGTGTGTTTTTGTAGTTTGAACTTCTCATTCTTCAGTGTTGCACGTAGTACTGCTAACTACCTTTCAAAGATGGCTATAATAAGTCTAAAAAGCTTATTTTCTAAACAGCTAAGTACTGAGTGGTGGAAAAGGATATGTTGGTACCCTTTGAATTGCATCCAAATAAGTATGTCGCAGAACATCTTTAAATGTTTGTGTTCAAACTTTCCATGTTTTGGATAAAATGGCTATATTATAGCTGTTATCATACTTCTTTTTAACCTTGTAAAATTACTTCTTTCTTTGGAGTCTGATAGAGCCCAGTTGCTTATAATGTGGAAATGTCTGTATTGTTGATTAAAATCAAAGTTAGCATTTATGCACTGCAGTGGATAGTAAGTGTAATACATAAATATATTTTTCTGCTCAGCATTCCTGAATGGAGTTTACAAATAATTGGTACGTCTCTGATCAGAAATAGCAGTTGGCATGTTTAGTCACTTATTAGAAATATTTGGTTTTGTCAACTAGAAATTCAAGATTAGCTCTGGAATGTCAGGTAGGTAGTTCAACACAGTGACCTGTCAAGAATCTTCCTTCTCAGATGGGGAATTTTGCAGAGGTTGAAGGAGGGCTCCATGTGCAAGTCTCCATGGGCCTTCAGTGTAGTAAACTAGCGTAAGAAGTTTCAGTTATGAGAAATACAGGCTAGACAAATTTAATCTAGAAATGAAGCATGTTTTTATTAGCGTCCTCTCTGGTTTTAAATGTATACAATTGCTATGGCAAAATTGGGGGGGGGGAATCACTGAGCGATGTCAAATTTAAAAAAAGAAACTTCAGTAATCTTTTAGTAGGAATATTGTATTAAAATTTTTTATTACAAGTAAAGACACACTTCAAAAAAATAAAATATCTAATTACATATCTGAAATGACTTGGACATTTTAAGTCATACAGCACCTGTACTGAAATAACTGTGATAAAAGCTTTTCTCTCCATCTAGCTTCAATGCTACTAGGTGAAGTGTTTTAGCAGTGTGCGTTTATCTTTGATCTATAGCAAGAATAACCTTTACTTGCTCTTGAATAGCATGATTGGTTTGTTTCTGACAGCTACCTGGAGGAGGAAGGGGAATTACTCTACAAGTGTTATGTCCTTGATGATTTGGGACAATTTCTGAAAAAAGGCAGCCCAAAAACAAGCAACACTTGTGTTTTTCTTATGTAGCAATTAAAATGTACAGTCATGGCCTTCTGAGACAAACCACTAATGTAGAAATGCTGATTCTGTAGAACGTACTTAATCCTGCCACTCTGTTGACATTTTTGTTGATTGATGGTAAGTTGCAGGCAGCACCTAGCAGCAAATTATCTGGTGGGAAGAACAGAATAATGGATTTTTCTTGAAAAGCTCATTTCACTGCCATCAGAAATCAAACCATAATTGGAATATGCTAAAAGTAGAAGAGTAGTTCTTAACTTCGAACATAGTTATAAGTTATTTTGATTAATGTAAGAAAACTTTGAAATCAGACTCTTCTACTTAATGTACTACTGTTCATGTTTTTCCCTGAAACCAGGCAGTTGTTGAATCCTCAGTATGTTGAGATACTTTCCCTCTTTTTACATATCATCAAATTAGGGTCCTTCTCTACATTTTCTTCTTATTGTGATATGTAGTAATTTTCTGTCAACTAAACTTTAAAATCTGAGAGAGGAAAACAGTAACAACTTGGTAAGTACACAGTAGACAGTCTTCCGTTAGAATTCCCTTTCACTGGAATTGCTGAAGATGCAGATCATTGGTCAAAAACGCTCTATGTAGATGTGAGATCTTGAGAGTCTATATGGTCTAGGTAGCAATTTAACAACTCTGAAAGATAGCAAGGGTAGCTAGCGTGACAGCTGAAGTGTCCATCGCAGCCACTGTGTGCCATTCTATCAGAAAGCAATATTGGGAAGCTCTACCATTGACAGATAGAGCGCTTTGTCTTTTTCAAGCCAGTGAAAGCAAAGCCAAGAAGCATCTTTCATAGCACGTGGCCAGTTCTCTACCATTTGTTTCCTAAATTATGAGAAAATGGAATGGGAATAAGATCACAATAATTTGTTTACAACAGCTGTGCAGTCCAAAATGGGTATGAGAAAACTATTGGGAGTGTGTAGTGTCCACAGAGAATGGTCTTCCCAATCTTCATCTTTTCTAGTATAAAGATCGTATTTCAGAGAATGCTAATTTTGTGGCACTGCTAAGGAACAGGCAGTTTGCTCAGGTGCTTTGATTCCTCTGATACAATTCTAAAGGGTGCATTTATAAGGGGAACAAAACATCATTCAGTTGAGACAGAGAGGATTGTTTAGGCAGGGATTTTGTAAGCATCAGTCTCTGATATAGGTCTGTCTGGGTGGTTTTTCCCTTGTCTTGTATTGATGTAAAACACAACGCAGCAATGGGTATTTCTCATTTGATTCTACAGCAAAGAATTGAATCTGGTTTCCTCAACCTTCTCACTAGTCACGAGGGGCAGAAATGTGTAAGGTGTTACTGGTTGGGCAGATTTTCATTATGTTATTCTGTTCTTGTCTCCCGCCGAGACGCTACTTGGCAGTAGAGCTAGAAGAAAGAAAATATTCAGGGAAACAGTGCCATCTCCCATTTCTTACTACCTTCATGTAGGTGGAAACAGTGCTCTGTGGGTGCTTTGGAATGGTTATCAAGTATTATAAAGTTACGGTGTTGGGTTGAAAGCCTCGGAGATTATCACGGCTTCATCTCCTTCTCTCTTTCATAAATCCTTTGTGTCTGAAGCTACTTTTGCACTAAAGCTTGTCTTCCGTCAGCCCCATCTGTCAGCTGCTTACTCTTGAGAGAGACTGGGTACCAGTTTATTGTCCCAGCATTCTTTTTGCAATATGTTAAGACCATGTGAGAAACTGTTATTATCAGGTTTTATTCTCCTTGTTTCCAGTAACTCAAGATCTTACATGTGATGGCAATTCATCATTCTTCAGCACATCTGAAACAACATGCTCATTGAAACTAAAATACTTCTGGAGTACCTTGTAGCTTGCAGAATACTCCCTTTTTTTACTGTGATCTTGCTGCTGTGTGAGGAGTTAACTGAACTGTTCCCTTTTTTAGGTGTTAGGACTTAAATTTGAGAAGCAGAACTTCCGAGCTTAGCACGTTTGCATTTAATAGCTAGAACACTACTACCTTATTATTGCTTTGAGCTCTTACCTTTTCCTGTAAGGTTATAGATACTTTAACTCTTAAAAAATACAGATTGAAATGTATTGCTTAGTTAAAAGGAAATGTCTTCTAAAATACAGTAATAAGAGAAATGATGTGGGTTTTATTATTGGGCTTTATGCAACATGAGTGCAGTTTTTTGGATTTGAACAACCTTTGCTGTGGGTTTTCTTTTCTTTTGTTGGTCAGGCAGGTGTACCTTTAGGAAGTGCTTCCACAGTAGCAATTTTAATTTACATCATAATCGCCAGTAGTTTGTGCATTTCAAACGAGTCCTTGCGATGAATATAAGTAAAATGAGTTAAACTTTTAAGATGAGTTGTTTACAAGAACGACTGCATGTAGGAGATAATGGTAGTTTCTCAGGGTCTTTGCTTGCGAATTACTGTTGAGCAAGTGTATTTCCAAGTTCTGAGGCAAAGTGGCTTAAACAAAAGCAATATTTTAAGAAACGTTTTGTGGGGTGGATTGATATGAAGGGAGAATGAGCTGCTTGTCCCAGTATTGTTGAAGCTGCTTTGTACCCATAGACTGATTCCATCCCCTAGGGCTCAGTCTCCCTTTTCAAGTTGGAATAATGGGATGGATGTGAAAGTCTAGAAATGTCTGAACTCTCCTATAATGACTTTTACCCACTGTTTGATTACCGGATCCTTTAGATGGATGCATGCTACTTGAACAATCTCTCAAGACCTTAAGCAGTTGTATTATGGAACTGACAAATAAGAGACCAGGTTGAGACATGGTGCAGTTAGCTGCTTAGAGATACTAATTTTACTAGGTAATTTAGGGAAGTTATCAGTCTGTACACTCAGACCTATAGTGTTCCCATTTCTAAGCACTCCCAAGTTCTGAATCTGCTCCCACCATATATGGGTTTCGTATGACTTTATTTGAATGTTGAAGTAAGAAATATGTTAAGATGTCTGGATAACTTCTTACTTTTATGTGTTTATCTGGATCTCTTTCTTCTCCTCCTGGAATGGGACATTCTTCTAGTTAACCCTGGGTACTGTTACTTCATCTTTATGATTTATTATTATTCTTTTAAATACAGATAGTAAAAACATAGCATAATGTTTTCTGGCTTTTCAGATTGATGTACACAAAAAAATACAGAATGAGCTAAAGTGGAAGACTTAAGTATGACTCATTTTAATACTTACTGAAGCTCATATTATTGTACTCTGTAGGAACATAAATTTCAAATTCAAGTATTGTTTGAATGTTCCCATGATTTCTCTTGCTGTACAAATTACTTGAATTGCTGAGTTTGAAGGCTTTGTAAAAAAAAAATTTTTTTTTAGGATTTGATTTTAGAATAGTAGCTCACGTAAGTGTAACTGTGTAATTTAAAAAACAAAACAAAACCCAACCTATGTAACTGTGATAACATTTCAGGAACAGCAGTGAATTCAGTCTGTGGAAAGGCGACTGCCATGTGCAAAAATACATTTTAAAGAGTATTTTATAAATAATGTAGCACTGAAAATGTTCTTGTTTGTTTTGCACCCTTCCCCATCACCTTCCCTCTACAGGTCAGATACTCCTTTGATATACAAAGCTGTGCCAAGCTGGTTTGTAAGAGTGGAGCACATGGTGGAGAAGCTACTGGAGAATAATGCCCAGTGCTACTGGTAATGTCTCCTGCATATTTTTTTTTTTCCTTTGCCCAGGTTTGGGTGTGTAGCGGGGGCGGGGTGTGCGTGTGCCGGAACTCTACAAAGCTCTATTTCACTGTTAGTGTGGTAACTTAACTTCATATTTCCATTCTGTCTTTCTGAGCCAATGTTACTGGAATGGGGCTGGTAACCAGTTTTAAATAGTGTTTTATCTCAGGTTTCACAAATGTGCCTCAAACTTGTAGAGCAATGGGATAGCCTTCCTGGTATAAACAGATATAACCTGCTGAATTGCATATCAGCCCAGTGTTTGAACATGTTTGCACACTGTTCCTTTCTTGTGTCCAGAAGGCATTCTTTGCTTGTGTAAAATCCCAACGAGAAACATATTCTAGAGTGTAAGTAAGGTTGAATACATATTAATAATTTACAGTGAAATACGTTACAGGATCATTAAAAGTATCCTCAAATCACATTATATGATCCTAAGAAATTCAGCATGAGAGAAACTGCAAAGGAAAATCAACCTGCAGAAGCATGGAAGTGCACAGTTAAGCCTCCCAAAAGGGTCCACTAAAGAGAAGAATGTAGCAGCTAAACTCTGGGTATTTATTGTTCCAAATTATACTAATTTTTAGATAAATTTTTTCTTTTCATCTAGTTATTACAGATAAGGTTGATACTTTGTCATAGTGCATTTGAAGAAAAAAAAAATAAAACAAAACCAAACCAAAACAAACCAACACCCCCTTCCCCCAAACCCACCTTCTCCCTACAACACCCACAAAAAAGCCAACCCAACTGCCCTAGCTTGTGTAATAGTTGTAAGTAACCTCAGTTTCAGAGGTTTAAATCAAAATTTTCTACTAGCGGCAAAAATTAAATCTTTATATGTATATAGTGAATGTGAAAAATATTTGTGTGAAGTATATGTAGAAAACAACAGGTAAGTTTTGGATAATTTAAATGCACTATTAAATTAGCAGTAAGAGGGAACTATTGGCGATGGTAGCCATTTTGAGAGTCAATTGTGGGTTTATGGTGTGTTAGTAACAAAAAGACCCTATCTTCTTCATCTTCATAACCTGTATTGTTATTTCTTCTCCTCTCATAAATAACTTGTGCCTGGGAAGTTGAGATCAGGTGGGGAAAATGTGGAGGTTACAGCCTCATTCAGTTGTACTGTGTGCCATTTCAGTTGTCGTTCAGTCTTTCCGTACGAGGACTGTAGGAGAGTTGGGATTTCACCCCTGTGTGTCTCTGCTCAGCAACTGAAATGGTGTTAAAGGAGGTGACTCAACTTTCAGTGAATAATTACAGCTTATGCTGCGTTTTACCATGGACAGTAGTTAGCAATTAAATTCTCCATGAGCAGCTTTTGCATAACTGCTTACGTGGTACAAGCACTGTAAATATTGAAATATGTGGGAAAAATTAGTGATCCATGATACAGACTGTCCAAAAATGCTGCAGCGTTGGCTTGCTAATAAGCACATGCCCAGTCTGGATATGTAAGAAGATTTTATAGATTAGTAAGTTGCTTTCTGTTTTCCATAACAGAACATACTGTGATCCTTCTTTTGGGGAAAAATAAGCTGGAGAGGGGGTGAAAGTGTTTGTTCTTAGCTTTAATTAGCTTTCTCAAGATGCTTTTACTGTTTTGATGACTGACAGTAGACCTGCATACTTAATTTTCACATGAACGTAAAAAAAATGTAATGATCCTATTAAGGAAGTGTTTGAATGGTTAGGATGGTTTTGCTTTTCCAGAAGCAAAGCTTCAAGAAGAAACTGAGAGGTGACATCCACTCATCCAGGAGACATTAATAAGAATTAGTAAACAGTTTGAATCCTACCTTATCTACATATTTGGGTTTGAAGTGGTGCTTTCTCTAAGTGTTGAGTAGTGGGGATACAAGTGGAACAGAATGTGAGCGCTGCGGTTGCAAAGGTTGGATGGGAAGACCAGGCAATTGTATTAATTAGCAATATTCAATGTACTTAAAGTAACTGTTTGTCCTTTAGGTAATTCTTGAGTCTCAACATAATTCTGTAATTGACCGTAAAACTGATTCCTCCAGATTCCTTTCAAAACAGTATGGTCTTAAAGTTTTTGAGGATCTTTTTGTAGAGAATACGGTCACAAGTAGAGCTCTATTATCACTAAATGATTGATAAAATCATATTAATACATATTTCCAGTATGTGACTTCATAATTACTAGTTTGAATACTAGATGGCTTTTATTACATAAAGATGGCTTTTAAAATCTAGCTTTTTAAAAGAAAAAGGCATCATTTTTAAGGTTTTCTTCCTATGTTCTTCACTGATGTTAGTTTTGTTTGGGATTAACTTCTTCATTTATTTAAATTTTGGGAACTCCATCCTTCCCAAAACCTACTTTTTTGATTTTAAAGAGACTTTATCTCTGAAAGTGTCACAGGAATAATACCTAGCTTTTTAAAAAATTATTTTTGGATTCTCTGGGGCTTCAGCATGTCCTGAAAATGAGAAAATTGGGGATAAATGCTTTTCAGACTATATTAACCTTTGCAAAATGAGTTTGACTGCATTACTTTTTTTATTCCTATAAATGACTGATAGGTATATTGTCCCTTAAGAATAGCTGCACTCTTTATAGATATCCTTTTTGATGAAATAGATTAAACATAGTTGGACAAACTTTGCAACCTGATTGCATTTCTAATTAGTTTTTTAATGAATTAGCCTACTGATAAAACCATAGTTATTCAAAATTTAAAGCCAGCAACTGTCTTCATTTTTCAAAATGAACTTAACTATAGCTTTCAAGAATGATGACATGAGTAATGTGCCAGCATTTTTGTAAAATCGGAAACCAAAAAATCCTCTCTACTTTCTCCCAACCTTATTCTGATCAGAGTGGGAAGAAACTTGTGTTGGATGTTGCTGAAAATGCAGAATTAGAACAGTATTTAAAAGACTCTGTTTCAGCCTTTAATCCAAGGTCCATTACTGAATGTTCTCTTTACCTGGCAGAAGATATTATTCTTAAAAAATTTTAAATTTAAAAAAAAAAAGGGTATTCATATTCAGACAACCTACTGTGGTACTTGAGATAAAGAGGGGCAAGTTCAGCTGCTGTACCATTCAGGCTGTCAGACCTTTGGTTTCCTGTTATGTCGATGGGGAGAGTTAGGTGCAGCACCAAAGATGGGTCCCGGTGTAAGCGGTCTGGATTTCAGCCTTAATTGTTTGTTTTAACTATCATAGCATAGAATGATTTGTTGAAGGAGCGTTTCTTACGTAACCACAGATAAGCAACTAAACGATGCAACCTTAGATTCTGTTGTATACTATAGGACTAATTCCTGTCATCACAGAGTTCAAAGTTGGTATAAATTACAAATTCATAAGTTATTTTAAAGAGTAAATTAATGCAATTTATACTTACGTTTCTAAACTGTTGTAGCTCACACTTCTGGCAGTGTATGTAATATTTTTATACTTGCAGGTTCGATAGAAAAGGTTCTGTAGACTGTGTAGTTTGTATTTAAATACCAGCTTTGAACTCTGTTTTATTTTTATTTTTCAAAAACCTGCCTTGCTTAAAGTTCTACTTCAGTAACTCCTGCAAGATTTACCTCTAACTGTTGACAAGTTTCTAGTGTTAGAGACTATTGCACAGTTCTGACTCTGTTTACATAAGATGTACAGCATTTGGTATAGTGGAAAAACGAGCATCAGTGGAAGGAAAGCAGTGACGGAAGACAGTAAGGGACTTGAAAGAATCCAAGCCTTTTGTTCTTGCATCTTCCTGGCGTTGAAAAATTCAAGTATTGTAATGAAGTGCTTGACGTATAGGTCCTTAGTTGAAGGTACCCTTTTTTTGACTTTCATCACTTAAACTGTTAGCTCTTATTGAAAATATCACACGGAACACATCTGATAGGCCTTTTTGCTAGAATTGAGTTTCCTGGTTTGCAAAGTGTGAATTTTGCGCACATTTCCTGCTGTTCTTGTATGAGCACTCTAAAACCAAAGTGTTTTCACATGTGTCAGTCAAACACATTAATCTTTTGAGAAGCTTTTGATCTTGTTTTTTCTAATCTTCGACCAGCCGCCTTCTTTGCTGAACAGCAAACTGTCTCCCATCTTTTGAAAGGTGTGATTTGATCACAAATTATGCTTGTCTTGTATCATAAACCCTAAGGCTGGTAGGGTGTGCAGAAGATAGGCTGTAGAGCCCATCTACAATAGAAAGCTAATGTTTGTTCTACTAAATTTGTAATTTTTGTGCAGATGAGAAACTGAGTCTGTAGCAGGGGCAACAGAATTTTAAGTCATAACAGAATTGTAGCACAATGGAGGAGAATCAGTTACTGAGTCCCTTGTTTTCCTCCTTTTTCTTTTTTTTAGGATGTCTCGTAGGATATTTTCTTTCCTAGTTTGTTAGCATTAATAAATACATTTTATCTGAACAGTTTTAAATGCATCTTGTGTGTGTGTGGCGACTTCTCCCCTCCCTTTTTTTTTTTTTTTTAATATGACCATGCAATTGTGACTTCTTTTTGAATCATTGATCACACTTCTCTTAGGAAACGTGAATACAAATTAGCTCTTCCCTCTAGTAGTGATTGTGACGTGCATAGCAATGTGCAGTCACTAGATGGCAACATTTCCCGAGGAAAAATTCAAACTAGTGTCATTGCCTACAGTAGGAGATGAAAAAAAAATTGCTGCAGGGTTAGCCTTGTGTTTGTCTAATTTAGAGCAGCATAAGTCAGAAGATTTTATTACTGGCTGTTATCAGACATAGTTGAGAATCAGAAGTGAATTTTGAGGCTTGTTCCAGTTGATTTTGATAGCTTGTGTTCTGCTGTGTCCTAATTTTGCTGTTTCCTCTCAAAGCCTCTTGAGCAGAGATTGCCAGTTATGTCATGAATACAGGATGTATCTTTTCAGTCCCAGTGAATGGTCATCAAAAGGTTGTTGTTTGGTTCAAGTAATACCCTTCTAAATAAAGACTCCAAATG